GCGAGGTCAGGAAATGAATGTGTAACATCTAGAAAAAATCCTAGGAAAAAGGATTCTGTCATTGCAGGGAACACGTTCCGTCGACACTTCCTGCTTCTTCCTTTCCCGCAGAGTGGCCCCATCCGTACTTGATCACGTCAGAGGCAAGTAACCCGACATGCTTTTTATATCCTTTTTCCGCAGGCGATTAACTTCGACTCACCGAGGGGTGGCATCAGCCTGGTAACGGAAAAGGGACCCGTAACTTCGAGCCGTTTACTCATTCAGAAGGCGATCGACAGAGACTCCGGCCTTTACACGTGTTCACCCAATAACACTCATCCTAATAGTGTACGGGTCCACATAGTCAATGGTAAAAGAAAAATGCCAATTTCGTTTAAAACGAGCTTTACATGCAAGTATCCACACGTTACTCATTTAAATTCGAACGAAATATTTTTTAAAAGAACGAATTCACTAGAAGAAAAGATTTTTGAGCGTATCTATTTTGTTCAACATGCATTAAAGTTTTTTAGATAATAACAATTTGTAACTTTAATTTTTGCCGTTTATTACGAGGTAATATAAAAACACATTCTTTTACGCAAAAATAATACAAAATTAAATTCATCTCTCTGGAAATTATATAATTCAGGTAATTTAATAATTATATTATAAGCATTTAAAAAATCAAGCAGTTACTTTTTTTTAAAATGAGAGATTATCCTCTGCACGGAAAAAATTATTTTGCTGGAATACCTAAAAATTTAACCAAATAATAGATCTAAAAATTATTTTGCTGAACATAATTAGGTAAAACTCTCAAGCATGATGAGCAATACTGCAAAAACTTTTGACATTCTAGCAATCAGCTTAAATATCCTACATAATTATTTCAATGGCCCAACAAAATTATTTTTAGATCTGTAGATTTAGCTAAATTTTTAGATTCTTCAGCAAAGTCCATCCTTTCTATGTGTCAAATACTTTTTTTAGTTTACAGGAAAAGGTATAAACTAAACTCGACAAAAATAGCTTATAAACTTAGCTTATAAACATTAAATAAGATCTTTTCGCCCAAAGCAAGAGCTCGCGCTCAGCTCTGCGAAAATGTCGCTCTAAATACCACCTGCTAAGAGCCGACTGAGCGAAACGGCATTATAGCGTAGCGTTTGTTTCAGAAGAACACCCAGCGGCAATGCATCACGGTAGAGGCGACAGAATGGCCGCGACACTACTTCCGGTCGTCCTACTTCTTCGGATAATATTCTAGCCGACGTTATGCATTCTGGGTTCCGGGTTGAATGCGTGCGAACTTAAGCACGGTCGTCTAACTCCTACGAAACCATCGAGCGGAGATTCAGTTTCGCGGTTTTGTCTCCGAGGATTCAACTCGCTGCGACGCGCATTCGACACGTTTGCCTCGCGAAACTAACGGAATCTTATCGTAGATTGCGTCGCGATATCGCGTGTCTCCCATTACGTCGTCAGACTGATTGGAATACATCCGCGTTATGGAAAATCTATTTGTCACATCGTCGCCTGGAAAACGTGAGTTAAAATAAATATTAGACTAGATGTATCCGAGAAAATGATGATGAATTGCGAATAACAACTATGAAATATATATTTAGTTCTGTGTGATTATGTGGTAAAAAAAAAAAACAATAATATAGCTTGGTAATGGTAACCAAAAAATTTGATATAAATTAAAAATATTTTTTATTAGAAATATTACCTATGTTATGCAACGATGTTTCTTAATTCTACCAATTCTGCTGCTGTAATGGACAAACAAAAGAATTTGTCCATAATAATAACTTTCAACTTTCAACTTGATTAGTCGAATAAATAAATAAAAAAGTATCGTGTAAATAAATTCGAATTTACAGTATACTTTCAAGGCCGTTGTTATTTTGTAAAAAGAGTGTCTGAGTTCTTGCTCTACTACGGAAACAAGTACGAACTCTTTTTCTTTTCCGGCAGAGTCGCGTGTTCTCATTTCTGCCGTCTTTCCTCACTTTCCGAAATAAAAATTGTTTGCAAAAAAAGAATATTTTGTAAATGTCATACTAATATAATGTATGACCTAAAATCGATCCATCTCTGAATTTCGATATTTATATATATTCCTAAATTTCTATTACAAAAGAAGAAACAGCAATATAAAAAATACATTGTAAGAACTGAAAGAATCGCTTTGAATATTGTTTGAAATTAAATTTACAAAATTTTTTTGAATAATGTAGAACTTCAAAAAACGAGAAAAATAAATTGATTCACAGAATTGAATAAACGCAACACGGCGTAAAATACATATTGGTAAAATACACAAGTTTTTGAAACATCAAATGGTAGAAACATATGCAGACATAATCGGGATCTCATTTTTTAGCAAATTGTCATCGTTTAGCAAATTTTCACCAGAAAATCTTGAGCACAGCTTGTTCATTATTACAATCATTCAATTATTGATTGCGCTTGGTAGACCACAATATTCGCTTTATTCGCTGCAATTACCAATATTTTGGCTACGACTAGTTTTGAGTATATATTCCAATATAATCCAATTATCGAATTATCGATTATTACAAAGGAAACAAATTGGAGATTTAAAAAAAACAATTTTGTTAATTTTGTAAATATCTGAAAGAAAAAATAGATATCATGATTGTCTTCTAAAATTTTATAAAATTTTTTCCAATTGAATGTGAAAACTTCGACGCATTAATATGAATTATTTTAACATGAACAAATGAAATTAAAAATTATACAGATTAATCCTCACTTACATAAATAATAAATATTAAGAATGTAATATATTGGAAAATTGGATTAATTTTATATTTATTTTATTTTTTCTAATTAATATATTCCCCATTTCTATATAAGTTTTTAATTATAGTATTAATAATTATTACAATTTTTATGGTCCTAAAACAATAAAACAGCATTAATTCTTTGAGAAGCACATTTTTTTCTACCTGATGGATCCTGTGAAATCTTACATTTCTCTTGGTCAATAATTACGAATCTAAAGTCAGATTTCAAGAATGGCAGATCCAATATGGCTGTCATCTAGAAGTAAATTAATATAAATATGATGAATATGAATTGGAAATTTTTGGAATTGCACTTGTAGTTGACTTTTTCAGAAAGATTAAAAGTTCAAACTTGAATGTTAGATTTTTCTAAAGTTGCTAAAATATCTGATTATGAATTTATGAAAATGGTTAAAAAAAATATTTTTGAGGATTTTAATCGCTTCTTTCTTAGAAATCTTACATGAGAGATGATTTATGATATATAATCAGCACGTCCTATTTACTAAAGAATGATCGTTCATGACAAAAATGCAAAAAACTTGTTATATATATAGTATAATTTTTATCTTCACACAGTACACCAATATAATTTGTTCGTGTAAAAATTCTAGAAAAAATATATATATATGTATATTATATTTTAACACAAGAAGAATATTCAATAAAATTTTCAGCTTCTTATCTTAAATACTTTCCAAAAAAACCACATTTTTGTAAAAAAGAATGCTCTTTTTTCAGCTTTATTTCTTTATAAGTGATTAGAACAGAACAATCGGGTATAATGGTGATATACAAAAAAACATATAAAGTAAATAATAATATATCAGAAAAATATAAAATCATAATTGGTTTCATTAAACTTGTGAGCAATATATCTTAAAAATAAAGAAGACAAAATTGGAAAGTATACTTCCAACTATCCAACAGTCAAAGGGTTAAAACATAAAAATTGTACTATACTCTAAAAATTAAAAAAAAATAAATAATATAATTAATATGAGAGAAAATGTTTCAAAGAAATGTATCGAATTATATGGCAAAATGTCGCAAAATACATCTGAATAAGCTTGTGTCTTGTACATCAGGCGATAAAATCCGTTCAACTTCGGAAGTAAGGATAGACGCGCTGACGCATAGAATCTTAAACTTGGAAACTTGCGTGAAAGAAAGAGCAATAGAGATACGCAAATATAACGAAGCTTTCCCGAGCTTGAAATGACGCGACGTATCTACAAGAAGAAAGCAGGTTTATTCGCCGAACTTATAATGACTTGACTTCGAAGAGGAAATTTTATTCTCGGTACGGTTACTGGTACGTTACTAAAAACGTATTGTTCGAAAGTGCATTAGCTCTTGGGGATTTGAACACCGTTGCGCCAGAACGATTCCGAGATTGTTTCATTTTCCACTGTAAAGGGACTGGCATTGTGCCTCTGCAGCGAGCTTGGCAGTATTGTTGTGTCAGAAATGTACCTCGCTTCTTCAGGACCACTCACGAAAATGTAAAAGCGACGATATCCTTATCACTATTAACGCCCAAAACCGAATATTTCTTCTATCAATGGGACCATATAATCGGAGCGCGTTGGTCCAATCGCGAATAATTCGCGTTAGCAGTTGATGCCAGCGTGCACGTGTAAGAAACGGTCCTATGTGGTTGCTGTATATACTACATTAGAAACGTGATCCTAAGAATATTTCGGTGCCAGTCTTTCAATTAGCTTGTATAACGACGCCGAAACTCGTTGTACTTCAAGGATACTATGTATGATGCATATACACGAGATATGTTTTTATAGTTGTCAATATATATATATGTATATGCGGCTAAGCAAACAGAGAAAACGATTAAAATGACGTAGATTAAGTGTTATTTGTCATTCTCTATGTATAGATATACCTTTTTCATAAATCTGTACATTTTCGCCGAATTAGTGTTGCGAATTGTATCGAAAAAGTTTATTTGCCATTGTACGCATTTAATAAAAGAAGAAAAAATATTCAAAGAAGAGTGACGGATCATGCATGAACGACCTACATTAATCGTACTTCTTTGGTTGAATGAATTTTTACACCGGATCGTTTAACAATTGTGGATCTTTAGGATGTTACCACAATAACTCGTTAATCACTATTTTGTTCTTAATTTTTGATTGTTTCTGGTGTCATATTTTAAAGAAGCAATTTTAATTAATGTTTGAGTTAGCGAACGCTAATTACCCTTCTTTAGAAAAACGGCTCTTTCACGCCTTCTTGTTTGCTACTTTGTTATACGAAACCGGTTACTTAAGTTTCACATGCCCCGACCGCAATCTCTTTTGCTTTCCAAGTATCAAGAATTTGTACTTCATATTTGTGTCCATGCAACAAAAATGTAACGATCTGATGTTCTTTTTTATTTAGTAATTTAATATTGTTACGTTTTAAAGTGAGATAATTGAATAAAAATAATTAACTGTTGAAAACAAAAAATATAGAGTACAGCGGGGTAATTTGAATAATTTCAAATATTTTAAATAATTTCTCGAAAAATAATAATTTCATAGTTACTTCAAATATGTAGCAGAACACTCACATGTTTAAGGAATATTTACCCAAAGTATAAAAAAATTAATCTTTAAATTTTGAGACGTAATGCCGATTTCTCCTTACAATTTTAATGATGCTCAGTTTTAAGAGGCAATTTGAATATTTTAAAGGATAATTTGAATAACATTGAAAATGAACATTAAAATTACAACAAAAATCAAACTTTGTATTAAAATATTTGAACTCTTCCATAATTTGGCCCTATTTATATACTTTCTACGTAGATTTCATAAAACTTAAGAAAGCAAGATATATTCTTATAGATGGCAGTAACAACCGAAATTCCCTATCTATTTTGCTTAATATAAAATTCTCCACAGACTTCCAGATACACAGATATCTTTTCAAACCTACATGAATAGATTACAGTATCTTCTTTGCTATTAACCCCAAATATAAAACATGGCATCTCAAATTTTTTTGAAATTACTGCAAACACTTATTATTATCCAAATTTTCCCGCTATTCAAATTACTTCACTGTATCCTATTAATTATTTTTACAAAATAATATTTAAAATAAAAATTACAAAGAAAACAATTTAAAATAATTTTCTCGACATCTCTGAGAATCAAGAACGTAAAAACGTAAGTATCTTTAAGTTTTCCTATTTAATACTTTTATTAAGCATACGGTTATATTTTGTATACATTCGTAATGTGTTCGATAATCGATATATAAAGCTCAGCTGTGTAATTATTTCCATAATTATTATCTTCATATAACACAAAGTGCAGCTAGGAGGAAACTTTCCGTTACCAACCAATAATTTCATCGCAAATGTAATTATTAACGCTGTCGGGCATTATATATACGGTGCAGTTCATTACATGGGAATTAATAAATTTAATGACAGTTA